ATGTAATCTTGCATTTTGGTCTATATATTAGGGACTGCTGTATTTCAAATTTCAGTAGAAAAAGGACAGTTGTGTTTTGTCTGGTTTCTATTGGTTGAAATAGTCTCTTATAACCAGTCATGAGTCTGGAATTGGAAGGCAGATTGCAGAGCAGCGTGGCAGAATGCCAAGAGTCTGGATAGGGTACTAAACTATTATTAGCCTAGTTCTAGGAATTTGGAGAGAAACTGAGGGACATTTTGTGTTTCTGGCCATTGTCAATAAAACAATATTTCTTGCATCTCTTGGAAATGCTGCTGCGAGGCTTAGCAGTTGTACATGTGCATTTTCCTTTTTACTTTTTTGGGTGTCACTAGTTCAAAAAATGATGTTATAGAGGAGATCCTAAGATTTTCTTCACTTGTTACCTTATATTTCTTAAGAAAATTGTTTGGTTTGGTGTTAAGATAAATATTCTGTTGCTTTTTGTAGACATTAAATTTTCCAAATTCCATTTGCTGTATTGTCCTTTGTTTTTTGTTTTCTGTTAAGTTTCTGAAATTAATATTGTTTACTAGCTAATTCTTCTTGCATGTAGTCTGGGCCTGATGAAAGAAGTGTTCCTGGGAATACTATTGCCGTCCAAGCTGACATGCCATTTAGCGGTCTCACAACTTTTGGAACAGCATTCTTGTCAAAGTTTGAGTGTTCTCAAATGCCACATTCAGTAAGTTATCTTTCAGAATCACCTTGACATTCTCCCAAATTGCCCATTGAAACACCCAAAGCTTACACATTTTTATATCCAAGCTGCTAGAACACATTACTTTTGTGGATACCCCTGGAGTTTTATCTGGAGAGAAGCAACGGACACATCGAGCCTACGATTTTACTGGGGTAACTTCGTGGTTTGCTGCAAAGTGTGACCTCATTCTACTTCTGTTTGATCCTCACAAACTCGATGTTAGTGATGAGTTCAAGCGTGTTATTTCATCTTTACATGGCCATGATGATAAAATTCGTGTTGTTCTGAACAAGGCGGATCAAATTGATACTCAGCAAGTAAGACAGACAATATATGAATCTCTTTGATTATTTCCCTTCTACATATTTTTTTGGGAATTTAATTACATATTTTTTGGGGAATTTAATTAGGTCATTGGATGTTGCGCTCAAATCATTTTTCATTCTTGGTGTGCAGTTGATGAGAGTTTATGGAGCATTGATGTGGTCACTTGGGAAGGTTCTTAATACTCCTGAGGTCATGCGAGTTTATATCGGGTAGCCTCTCCATCCTTGCATCATTAATTCCTTGGAAGCAAATCCTATAGTTTCAAATATATTCCAAAGTTTCCTAGCAAATACCTTGGTTCGATCCTTGCAAGCTAATTTTCTCTTTTGCAGCTCATTCAATGACAAACCTGTAAATGAGGCTGCTACGGGTCCAGTTGGGAAAGAACTCTTTGAAAGGGAACAAGAGGATCTTCTTGCTGATTTAAAGGATATTCCAAAGAAGGCCTGTGATCGCAGAGTGAGTTTGTTATATTTATGTATCTCATATCTTTACTTACCAAGTTGCTTTCTTTTTAGAAAACTGAATGTTTCTTGCAGATTCCAACGGAATGGAATTTTAATGACCTTTTTTTTCGTAGATCAATGAATTTGTGAAGCGTGCCAGAGCTGCCAAGATACATGCTTACATAATTAGCCATTTAAGGAAGGAGATGCCTGCCATGTTGGGGAAATCTAAGGCTCAACGGAAGCTTATTGATAATTTGGAAGATGAATTTAAAAAGGTACTGTTCCCTCCCTCCCTCCCCTGCGTATGTGCACTCTTTACTCTATAATGCTCACACTCTGTACAGGTCCAGAGGGAGCACCATCTACCTCCAGGGGATTTCCCGAACGTAGACCACTACAGGGACATCTTGACTGGTTACAGCTTTGACAAATTGGAGAGGTTAAAGCCTAAGATGATAGATGCCGTCGATGAAATGCTGGGTTATGATATCCCGGAACTCTTGAAGAAATTCAGAAATCCATACGACTAATGGGTGCAAACAGTTTTGAGAAGTATCATGAATGGTGGCTTTGAAGTGTACATGTTGATAGAGCATTGCTCTTCTTGAGCATCTTGGTGTTTGTTGTAAGTTTATAACATAATATGGTTTCAACTCGTACGATAGTTCCGGGATTTAGATAGTGACAATCGCTAGGCTCCTTATTTGTACTGTCAGTTTTTGTTGGGAAATGATTTAGGACCAAGGTCAGGCTAAAAATTTGTCATCAAAGGTTCCTAACGATGGAAAATTGTATGTGAATGAAAATTTTTACAATTTTATTCTTGAGAGCACTGTTTTAAAGATCCCTGCCTAGCGCCGATGTCCTAATTAATTTCTAGACGTTTGAAAATCAAGAAATGACGTCTACACCTACTTATGTGTCCTTCTAGCCCGCTTAGCACGCATAGATCTGCTTAAGTCGCGACTCTCTTATACAAAGAATAGAACTATCGTGGGTGGGGTGCTTGTCTTAAAAAAGGTTATCTGATGGACCCCAGTATGCCAATCCAAGTCATAAGATTTAGTCTCAGAGTCAATCAAGAGTCATTTCTGCTTGACTAGCACTTAGCGTTTTTTAAAACTTTACCTGAAAGGTTTACCAAGCTCTATTGTCTTAGTTGCAGGTTTGTGTATTTGTTGAATTCCTTGTCCAATTGTAGTTTCATAGAGCAACTAGGAATTCATCATATTCCTGTGCTCGACACTTGATGTACGTATAGCATTTAGGAGCCTATAAATTCATTACTTAAGCTCCATCAATACGTTTATGTTATGTTCATATTTGATACATAATTGGTATGGACGGCCTGCTTTGCCTTCGTCCAATCTAATTTATTTTTTTAGCAAACGATATTATTAGTGTAGGGAGTGGAGGAGTGAGCTAAACTTCATAATAGATTAGCAAGAATGTAGTTCAAGTTCGCATTTAACAAGAATTAAACTTAAAATCTCTCACTTACAATTGTAGAAGAATATCTCTAGACTGTAGTATTAAGTGACTCATCTAATCTAATTTTAATATTAAAAAAAATAAAATGATTGAAAGATATATTCCTCTTTTTTTTTTCTTTTTTTTTTTAGAACATTAATTATGTGAAGATTCCTTCCGTTGACTAAACAAGACAGCATAGGAAACTCCCAAAAAGATGTCAATGGAAAAATTAAGATGTCCTCCTCAATGTAGAAGGAAATTTCTCTAAAAAATGTCGTCTTCAATAACTTATAGCCCATGCAAGCCTAAAAGATCAATCTGTCAGCATAGCACAATCTTCATTTAATTGTCATGATCAAGAATTAAGGATTTAAATTTGACACAATCAACTTCACTTTCTAAGGAATCATCTCTAGTGGAATCACTTCAAAATTCCTTCGTCTCGTCACTTTTTGAGCAAAATGGATTCCACTTGACCTACAATCAAAACATAAATAAAAAACAGAAAGAGGAGAATAAAAAATATCCAATATATATATAACATAACTAAAAATATGATAAAATGTAGTACAACATTAACTCATCGGTTCCTAAAACAATAAAGAAGTTATCTTTTGGTTATGAATTATCATAACAATAAGCGATAAGTATCAATTTACTTGATTTGCACGTCCCGAGACAAGCTACTTTTGTTTTAGTGTCGTCTCTTACAACTTTCATCTTTGCCAAAAGTAACACTGACATTCAAGGGCAACAAGCATTCACGATTGGCCCATCCTAACGAATAGGGCTGAGAAATTTTGTCATAAATCGATTTACCGACCAAATTATACCGGTAGGCTCATAATGGTATGATATAGTTTTGGCATTTTGTTTATAATCGGTAGACATTTTAACGAACCGACAATTAATGGCATGACTTTGGTAATTGATTTTGTATGCTAGCAGTATGCCATACCTACTTATATATATATATATATATATATATATATTTCTATTTAGATATTTTAGGTATTTTTTACATGCTTGACTCCTTAGTTTTTGGGTTTAGAAAATAAATGACTCCTTAGTTTTAGGGTTTGAAAAATATATGCACGACTTCTAGTAGCCTTCTCTCAATTTTCTTCTTCTCTTCAACGCACACCTCCTTGTCATCCAGCCAACTGCTATCTCTGCCAAAAAAGGTGTGAAGATGCTCTCATTGAATTTGTGACTCATTTAGGGTAGTTGAGGGGGAAGGGTTTTTGAAGTATAGTTTTGAGCTTCAACCTCGTTTCAAGGTGCCTAATAGGAAGACGGTTGCTATTGGTGTGTGGGTGTTGTTTTTGTAGCTTATTTGCAAACCACCGATTATGCTATTTACCAACCAAACCAGCCAATAATTTTGGCTGAACCGATTTTTGGCAACCGCAAGAAGACGGTTGGCTAGCGGTAACTAATTTTTGATAATTATGTATATGTGGCTGGCAGATGGCACAAAAAATTTGACACAGTTTGCCTACCGAACCCAGCCCTACCACCAAATTCTTAACATCGCCTCTCGCACAATACATCGAGAATTTGTTGTGTGTATTAAAAACACCGTCACTTGATACCTTTCCATTGATACGAGTGGATTCTATGAATATATCTCACTTCAAGGTTATATTCATATGTAACAAATATAGTATAATAATATCACGTATTGGTGTTTTGAATACATTAAAAAATTACTCCAATATTGCTTGTAAAAAAGAGAAACCGTGTAAGACAATTTAGCAGGCTGGATTATTCAGTACAAGAAATGAAGGGTCAAATTGAATTTAGAAAAGAGAACTTTAACGAAAAGCATCGGTATTGTTTATTTTAACGAAAAATTACATTTTTACACTAAAAAGTCAATCTTAGTACTATTCACTTTACCCTTTATTTTTTCCTTATCATTAAAATTCAAATTTTTCAAACCCTTTTAATTAGTTTTTTTTTAGAAAACACTATTTTTACTTATTTGCGAGTCTACTGAATATAAAGCTGTAGTATTCCGAAATATAGAAAACTTATCTAATAAAGTTCATACATTCCAATACGAGCATACCAACTTGAAATTTCATACCTTCCAATTGCCTAATTTACCCAAAAATTAGCACTAATTGCCAATCATAAATTATAAGTTGCAAGCCTGGGTCGATTAAGGTCAAGGTACTGCAGCCTATCATCAGGATTTAGAGAGAGCAAGCAGCTAGAGATCCTCTGTTCGTCTCTGCACCATTAGGTGAATTATTACCTTGCAATTTCTCGATACCAACTTCTCATGAAATTAATCATTGCTATGATCATTGTTATTTTTAACTCTACGATCCCTTTAATACCAATTTTCGGTTAAATTAGCTATTATTTTTATCCATTGATTATTACCTTGTGGAAGCTGGTGTTTATAGCACACTAGGTGTTCGATAAAATTCCTCTTAAGCTCTGTTTCTGTTTTTGACAACGGAAATTGCCCTTTTAAGTGCAATTCTATGCTTTTTATGGTGACGTTCGTTTAGATTTGCTTTTAAAATGACTTAAAAGACCTTTTGGTAAAAATATTTTTAGAATCAATTTTTAGTAAAGATGCAAGTAAATCTTGAAAAACGACCTAAAGTGCTTTCTAAAATAAGCATATAACTTGTGCTTCTTACAAACTCCTCAAGTGCTTTTGGAACTAAAAATATTTTCTCTAAAAGCGCTTTCAGCCATTTTAAAAGCACATTCAAACGATAGATGCACAAACTAAGTTAAGTTGACCTAAAAAATTGGTACTTAATTACGCATTGTTTTAACGGTTTAGTGTAATATGCAGTTTATGTTCAAATTAAAGACACTTGTTTGAACTGGGTAACAGAAGTGGTGGGAAATTTGTGTATATGATATTAATGTAAAAGTTTACCGGTCATTGACTCAATGGTTTCTGATTTTCATTTTTAGGAAGAAAGTTGAGGCAGGAGTGCGTGATAAAAATGTTGCCGCCGGTGATGAAGAAGACCATTACAGATAACCCAAAGAAGCTGGCCAACTTGATTGACCTCGTAAATCTTCCTTCTACACTGCGAGAGTTCACGGGTCAGTCTCAGATTTCTCGTCTTGGATGTTTCATGCGTGTCTGGTCATACATCAAGGACAACAATCTCCAGGTTCCTTAAATTTATCGATTTGTTTGTTAGTGATAAGTACTCCATGTGTTCTTGCAAATTAAAGTGCGATCAGTTGTATTTAATCATATGAAGTAAAATGGTGCTGCATTAGTCTTTCTGTGTTGCTTTGTCTTAGTTATGGCGCTCGATGTTTGCTGTTCAATTGCAATTAAGAGGCAGTTCTTAGTTTTGCTCATCGAAATCTGTTTTAGTACTTTCATGGTATAGATTTTTCTTAAATACTGAAGTGGTGTGCTTGCATAGGATCCGAACAACAAGAATGTGGTCAATTGTGACGAAAAGTTGAGGAGCGTTTTGTTGGGCAAGCCTCAAGTTGAGTTATCTGAACTTCCTACACTGATCAAGCTCCATTTCCCCAAAGAGCCAAAGTAAAATTCCCAATTCAAATTGAGGTGCACATTATCTCCCCCATGGTAATCTTTTCTCTAAGAAGCATTTTACAATTCTTGGTACCTTATGTCATAAGAAACTATTTCAGGAGTAATTGCAGCCTCAGTCAGCCATTTTACGTCATTTTACGTTATGTTCTATTTTCATGTCATGCCCTTTTAATTGCTATTCAGTATGGTTTTGTAAGACCTTAACGGTAGTTTTAAAAGGTAAATATGTTTTTGTTTAAATACTCAACTTATCTGTATGGCCTCTCTGTTGGTGTCAAATTTACATTCGGAATCTGTAAGTGACATTACAATTGAAATTATAGTGAAAGCATGACAACAAAACTCGACAAAAACACTGGGTTTCGGATGATTTCTGAGAGAATATCATATGGGTTTGAAAGAACAAGTTGAAATATAACTAGTTCCGTGTTGAGCTTCTCACCCAATTCCTGCATCTTCACATTGAAACTTTTGGCCTCATCATTGTACTCCTCAATACAAACACTCCCAAAAAGGATATCTGTAGTTCTTTCTAGTGGCAGGCGGCTCATTGGAGAACGGCCGCCTAGAGACATCTTCCAACCTCCAAGATGGTAAAGCGCCCTGATGAAATTTCCAGCAATTCCTAGTAGAAAGCTTGGTTATCCTCAATGGAAAACTGCGATGCTCTGCCTGAAAATTCAAAGTAATTTTCTAGAAATCATTGGTTCCTATAGTCTTCAGGTAAAATGCTTCTCCCAGGACCTCGTTAGCTTTATCGTTGCCTAGGTAGCTTCGTAGGTTCTTCTGATATTCCTTTAGTTCTCCAATTCCTTCCAAAGAGATATCACAAACTGCACAACCAGTATAGTAGCTGTAAATAAAACAAGCCTGTATTTCTTAGACTTTAACTTAGTATAACGATTTTGATTTGAAATGACACAAAAGCAATATGATTGAAATGATTAGAACTCAGAATTAACTGAGTTTCTGGAAATTGTTGGAAACAACTGTTTTGTCTTTCGATTAGTCTTCATTTTCTCTTTTCACTTAGATTCACTCTTGCATCATTGACGCTTATTAGGCGTACTAGGTTGAATCATAATGCGACTTAAAAGCACATCAGAAGTTGCGTTATGACTCCATAGAAATCCGAATGTTATAAATAGGATCCAAGCATGCAGGCATGGTTGGCTTGATCATAAAAGCTTCAGAAATGAAGTCCGTTGGAAAACCGGCCAGTAGGCCAGCCTCCATAGAAATCGCGACCGTAGTGTTCAAAGTCTTATCTTTAAAACTGTTGATATCTGGTTGTTGTTCCCTGTATCCACAGTAGAGTCTCCAAACACAATGATTGCTGGAACTTTCGCACACACCATAGAATGTGCACTAGGAGATGGGCAAGGAGGAGCCATTGAATGGCCTTAACTGTCATCTTTTCGCTTCCCTTGAACTCACCCGTTTAGAGTATAAAAATGCAGTAGGTTGTTGGTAGGGATGATATGAATTTATATGAAATGGAAGGAGCTGATGGACATGGAGGTTTATGAAGTTTGTTGATACTTCAATTTCTGTTGGTGTTTTGTATGTGAGAGAGTCAATGGTGGAGGAACAGGTAAGGAAAATAGGATTGCCCTAATTTGTAGCTGAATCTGAACCTAGTAATAATTAGTCATGGGAGATTCTGGTTTAGGGATAATAAAAAAGTGAAGGAAGCTTAACCTGGCTTTGTATCGAGGTTTTAAATTTTTATCAAGTTACTCTTTCATTTATTTAGAGGTCGCACTTGGTGCGATGGCAAGTGCCTTCGCCCATGAGCGGTAGGTCTCGGGTTCGAGACTTGGGAGCAGCCTCTCCATAAATGGGGGTAAGGCTAGCCGACATTCACCTCTCCCAGACCTTGCGTAAAGCGGGAGCCTTGTGCACTGGGTACGACCTTTTTTACTCTTTCATTTATTTGACTCTAGTAGATGTGGAAGTCACACTTGCACTTACACCTTCATGATGCCTTTTTGTTCGTCAGTGTAAGTGACTTCCACATCAATTAAAAAATGGTCACATATTTATCACGTCATCAATTTAACAAGGGTAGTGCTATGCACACACTCATTTTTACCTCTTATTTATCATTGTTAATTTTTGTCCATTAATCTTCTTCAATTCATTCGATTCATGGCCGGAAATTGAGAGGAGTGTGAGACGTAAAAATTGGTGTGCGGGTAGCACCACCCTTTAACGAAAGACCATACAATCACAGCTACATAGGCAAAAATTATAAATTGATACGATTTCAAAACTTCAATGAGCAATATGAGAAAATTGAAGCCTTGTAAACTCACGTTTACTATAGGTAGCACTCCAAACCAAAGAGGCCTAGCAAACCATAATTATATAAACACTCTCAAAGAATTAGTTAATCTCTTAAAATCACATAAAATTATGAAACTGCATTGAATTGGCTCATGACTAATGAGAATTTGCCCCTTACAAGAAGATGTGTCTATTTATAGAGACAAAAGTCGCATCTTTTGATTTAAGAGACTTATCATGGACTTTCTACCACTTTATGTTTTTGACATAATTTTCATGCCAACATTATAAATCATTGTGTAAAAAATAAGAGGTGGTGAAGAGTTCATGGAGAGACCTACTTTTGAAAGAGTTTCCTTAGCATTTTGCTTTACTTAAAACATAAATAAAAAGTTGTATCATTTCACTTAAAATAAAAAATAGACATCTTGTTTTTTTTTAGTACATCGGTATTTTTACACTAGAGGAATTGGGAGTTCGGCTAAGCCATACAATGGGCAACCTAATTTGGTATCGAATTCGCCATCCACGAGATTTGAACCTAAGATCTCTCACTTCCAAGTGAAGAAGAATACCATCAGACCGTAGTACCGAGTGGCAACTTAGACATCTTGTTAGTTATATACAATTACCATTTGACCTGATAATAATTTAATGTCAAACTCGTTATTTCATGCGAGTTGAATTAATGCTAGTGGTAAGAAAAATCATGATTGAAGAAAGAAAATGTTGTAGTTAGAGTGAGCATGTATGATGGTGTAATTTCTAGTAGATTGTATTTAGGCTTTCTTACTTTTACCCGTTATGTTTACTACCATATATTCCTATAAGGATCTTAATACACAAATATATATATATATATATATATATGAAGTTCCCGAATTGTACTGAATTCTTTTTCTCACATCAGCAACAAGAGCTTTAGAAAATTGAAGTCAAGTAGATCTGAACCAAGACAAATTTGCCGACCTCTTCACGAAGTCATTGTCGAAACCTACTTTTTAGAAGCTTGTTCAAGGAATTGGTATGCGTAAATTGTCTGATTTGCAATGCTTATAGTTCCCATTAAGAGTTTTGTCAAACTCAGGGGGAGTATTCTAAAGTATACTAATTTGACCTTAATGTACTATTTCTCCTACAATCAAGATCATTTTATCCCATTGAGTTATTGTAGCCTGACGAGGTTTTGATGAGGCAACTACTCTAGTTGGTCATACCTTCTTTTGCGTTTTACTTATGTCCTGAAGATGTTAGTCTTTTACTCGTTATAAATTGTCACATCCCAACCTGGGCTCCCACCACATCCCGGGCTTGACTCCACCGTAGCACGATATTATCTGCTTTGGGACCCCGACCACGCCCTCACGGTTTTGTTTCTGGGAACTCACACAAGAACTTCCCAGTGGGTCACCTATCCTGGGATTGCTCTCGCGTGAACTCGTTTAACTTCGGAATTCCGATGGAACCCAAAGTCAGTGAGCTCCTAAAAAGTCTCGTGCTAGGTAGAGATGTGAATATACATATAAGGCTTACATGATCCACTCCCCTAGGCGATGTGGGATGTTACAAATTTACTTACTTTTCTCCTTAGAGTATTTGTGGATTTTGTCCCATCTTGAATTTTACTTTAGCCAGATTTTGTGAGGTTTATCCATAAATGCATTCTTCCTTATTCTGAAACTCACATTTGCTACTTGTGTCATTAGACGAGACGACTTCATCAACTGCTTTTATATCATCCATGAAAATCTGATGCGTCATCTACTTGAGTATTTACCCACTCAAGAGGTAGTGTTGTAGTTAGAATTGTAGCACAAATGTAATTGTGTAATTCCTAATAGATTGTATATAGAATTCTTATGTAATTTAGAAAATCTTAAGCTTTTTAACTTGTAGAACAAATAATTTCTTATGTTTACTATAAATTAAGACATAAAGTAAGAGAGAAAATAGGCAAAAGAAAGTTCATGTTGTAAATAGTGGGTATGTTTGCCCACATGTGTATAGTAATGTGTATAATAAAGTACCACATGTGTATAGTAATGTGTATAGTAAATACTCACATGCATATAGTAAGCCTTTCACTATGTTGCTTGTGATTTGCTTCTATAAAAGCAAGTCTTATGGAACACAACAAAAAAAAAAAATAGGAGAAGATGAAATTAAGAGGTTCATGGGAGAGATGGGAAGGAAGAAAGGAAGAGAGAAAAGAGAGGAAGAGGAGATGAGATAATAAAGAGAGTTATCTTTGTACTCTTATTATTTCAGATTATAATGAAAGAACCACTGCTGCCCCGAGGACGTACTCCAGTCACACTGACTGTAGAGGAACCTCGTAAATTTTGTGTCTTGTTTATTTATTCCACTGTACACGTCGTCGATTTTACAATACGTTATCAGCACGAGAAGCTCTCGTGTCAGTGGAAAATACAACGTCACAAATCCTGTTCACCTCTATCGCCTGGAATCTCACAGATAAGAAAATCTTTTCATTTCATCTTCAAATCTCAGTACAATTGATTTTCTTGAAGCAACTATATATATTGTTGTATGACTGTATATCATCATTTGCAGAAGCAAAAGAGTACAGACTCAAAATTCGTAGAGAATTTAACAGCTATGTAAACAGCCTCGGAACTCTAACTTACGAACCTCGGATTAAATACTTTCTTCTTAAAAGTTGTTCGTCCGCTCAATATATACAACATATCAAAATTTCAGAAAACTTTAACGGTGCGATTGTCGCAGATGTCTGAAATACCAAACCAGTTTCCAATTTCCGTAGAAAACTGGACAGCCACCTTATGAGTATCAAAACTCCATTTCGGTAGCTCAGATCGAAATTGTTTCTTCACGAAAGTTGTTCAGTATCCTCTTATCCATATCATACTAAAATTTGAGTTAAATCTAACGGTTTGATCTTCTCATAAGTTACAAAAACTCTTGACTCCAAAACTTATGGGAACGT